TCGGGCTGGGCCCGGCCGGGCTCCGTGGCAAGCCCGGCCACCAGACGCTCGCCGACGAGTCCTCCTTCTGGGCCTGGCTCCAGAAGGGGACCCCGGGCTTCCTCCGGGCCGGGTATCCTCACTTCTTAGTTTTTCTTTCATGAGGTCTTTTGAACCAATCTTAGTCTGGCCCCTTGCCTGAGACCAATTTGCCATGGGAGACCCTACCAGGAACACAAGGTTCCAGACAACACAGCCCCCAGGTTCATCAGGGCACACAAACCTCTCTACCACGGTAAGGTGCTGGTTCTTCAGAGAGGAATACTTAAAAAGATGAGAGAGGAAATCCAGGAAATCACATTTTAGGATTTTTAATGAATGAATTGGTAAATTCCTCGGTAAAATAAGTATTTGGTCACCTACAAACAAACAAGATTTCTGGCTCTCACAGACCTGTAACTTCTTCTTTAAGAGCCTCCTCTGTCCTCCACTCGTTAACTGTATCAATGTTACCTGTTTGAACTTGTTATCAGTATAAAAGACACCTGTCCACAACCTCAAACAGTCACACTCCAAACTCCACTATGGCCAAGACCAAAGAGCTGTCAAAGGACACCAGAAACAAAATTGTAGACCTGCACCAGGCTGGGAAGACTGAATCTGCAATAGGTAAGCAGCTTGGTGTGAAGAAATCAACTGTGGGAGCAATTATTAGAAAATGGAAGACATACAAGACCACTGATAATCTCCCTCGATCTGGGGCTCCACGCAAGATCTCACCCCGTGGGGTCAAAATGATCACAAGAACGGTGAGCAAAAATCCCAGAACCACACGGGGGACCTAGTCAATGACCTGCAGAGAGCTGGGACCAAAGTAACAAAGGCTACCATCAGTAACACACTACGCCACCAGGGACTCAAATCCTGCAGTGCCAGACGTGTCCCCCTGCTTAAGCCAGTACATGTCCAGGCCCGTCTGAAGTTTGCTAGAGAGCATTTAGATGATCCAGAAGAGGATTGGGAGAATGTCATATGGTCAGATGAAACCAAAATAGAACTTTTTGGTAAAAACTCAACTAGACGTGTTTGGAGGAGAAAGAATGCTGAGTTGCATCCAAAGAACACCATACCTACTGTGAAGCATGGGGGTGGAAACATCATGCTTTGGGGCTGTTGTTCTGCAAAGGGACCAGGACGACTGATCCGTGTAAAGGAAAGAATGAATGGGGCCATGTATCGTGAGATTTTGAGTGACAACCTCCTTCCATCAGCAAGGGCATTGAAGATGAAACGTGGCTGGGTCTTTCAGCATGACAATGATCCCAAACACACCGCCCGGGCAACGAAGGAGTGGCTTCGTAAGAAGCATTTCAAGGTCCTGGAGTGGCCTAGCCAGTCTCCAGATCTCAACCCCATAGAAAATCTTTGGAGGGAGTTGAAAGTCTGTGTTGCCCAGCGACAGCCCCAAAACATCACTGCTCTAGAGGAGATCTGCATGGAGGAATGGGCCAACATACCAGCAACAGTGTGTGAAAACCTTGTGAAGACTTACAGAAAACGTTTGACCTCTGTCATTGCCAACAAAGGGTATATAACAAAGTATTGAGATGAACTTTTGTTATTGACCAAATACTTATTTTCCACCATAATTTGCAAATCAATTCTTTAAAAATCAGACAATGTGATTTTCTGGATTTTTTTTAGTTGAGGTATACCTAGGATGAAAATTACAGGCCTCTCTCATCTTTTTAAGTGGGAGAACTTGCACAATTGGTGGCTGACTAAATACTTTTTTGCCCCACTGTATATATATATATATATAAATATATAGAGACCATTCTCCTAACTTGCCTGTATATATTATATGAATGATTATATAAATTATTCAAGGTTAAAGTATACATTGATATTGTATGTTAACATATATTAAGATGTAAAAATAAAACAAAAAAAAAGTTAAAAAAAAGGGAGAAGGGGTCGGATTAAATAAGTGTAAACTTCTTCCGACCCCTATTCGGACGTGTAATTAGCTAACGTTTTGTTGTTTATTGATATCAGACAATGATACTACAGATTATTCAATTATTAATTAAATATTTCGTTTTGTTATTGCATTCATTTGTATAGTACTGTATCATGTCTGTATCATCTTTTGTTTCATTTGTATTTTCTTTGGTTTTACACGCTCGAAAAAATAAATAAACTAAACTAAACTAAATTGTATGAAAAACCATGCAGGCTAATGACAGAACTGTTTATGTACAGGGAGAAGAGGAGGGGACCAAGAACAGAGCCCTGAGGGACCCCTGTAGTTAATTAACAAGGGTCGGACTTGGACCCTCTCCAAGTTACCCTGTAGGTGCGGTCTTCGAGGTATGAGGTTAGGAGGGAAAGTGCAGAGCCTGAAACTCCGAGTTCTTGGAGAGTGTGAAGGAGGATCTGATGATTCACCGTGTCGAATGCAGCAGACAGGTCCAAAAGGATGATGACAGAGGAGAGGGAGGCTGCCGTTCCTCAGAGACAGCAAGGAGGGCAGTTTCTGTTGAGTGACCTGCCTTGAAACCAGACTGGTGCGGATCCAGTATATATATTTGCCATTTAGCTGTGCAACAATACATACTGTACCTGGCTACTATATCTCAGAACTGTTACAGGATGTGTATTTTGTAAATTGTTTAATGTTGTTGTCTTTAATATTATTTATGCATGCTTCTTGATTAATATTAAGCTGTCTTTGGCTCTTTTTTTTTGCTGTAACAAATGCAAATGTGCCTCCATGTGGAATGAATAAAGATATTCTGATATGTAAATAGATGTTAAAAAAAGATCATCAATAAAGCAGAGGCTGCAAACAATGTATTTTGCAGAAAGAATGAAAGCAGTAAAACCAGCATATAATATGGGAATGGATTATATAACATGAGTAAATATCCATGTGTAAAATGCATGGTGCTATTTCTTATAATACTTTTTCACCACCTTATTGTGTCACCTATTTTGTCTCTTTATTAATGTGCATTTTGAAGAACATTGTAGACAGTACAGTGTTTGCATTTACTATCCAAATGCTGTAATAAAAATAGCAATCAAGGATATAAACCAGCTTAGATGGTTGACACTTCAAGGTTAATCACCAAAAAAGGATAAAGAAGCACGAGACCCTTTCAAAGTAACACATTCCCTCCTTGGCCACAGGGGACAGTGTTCTCTATGGTTTGGGAAGACTCGTGACTCAGTATACAGTATCTGTCTGGTGCAGAGCTATTCAAAACAAGTATTTAACCCTTTGATGGTAAGGAAACAAAGGGTACATGCATATTTTTATTTTATTTGTGTTGACATTGTTAAATAAAAAGCTTATTCAGAGTTCCCTTCTTTCTTTCCAAATGCTACAGATAAAAGGCAATTCTATGACATGCATGATGCAATATGTTTATTCAAACACAGCTTAGTAAATGCACTTCTAGTCAATTTATCCAGAACAAATGCTTTCTTAAAAAGAGTTTGAATTTATACCAAAAGAGTACAACATGTTGTGGTGATCACAGGATGTACTGCATGCTCTGCCACATGCTGACTGATATATTAACCCAGAAGCAAACTGAAGACTTGTGTAAAAAAAGGAGCAATAATGCAGTTTAAATTCATTAAAAAGTTGTCTTGAAGGTCATATCAATGTGGTTAACTGACCTATGCTGTGTTGTAAATAATGAGTTAAGAAAGGCAGTGGGATTGTTGCTGAGTTGTGGTATACCCCTTCATATTCTCATGATCCTTTCCATGACTCTGCTAAAGTCCCGGGGAATTCTTTTTCAACAAAGAACCTTCACAAAACAAGAACCACAGGATCCTGTGATCTCTTTACGTGAAATGCCTCCTGTAGGATAGCTCTGATATTATCAGTTGGCACATTCACTGCAGTACAAATACCTAGAGAGAAGGTGATGCCTTCAAGCGCATTACCATAAAGTCAGATATTTATAGTTTCAAGGAAACTATTGATCACAGAAACAAGAGACGTGTGAAATGAAATGTGTTTTATCCAGTAGTATTCTGACGACTATGTGTCTTAAGAAAATATACCACAGCTCAGTGTTTTGCATTGGTGTTTATATAAATACATGCTTGATAAATCATTTTTAAAAGACAAGGGAAAGTTCTCAATATTATCAATTATTCACACGATTGCTCAGTCTTAATAAAAAATGAATTCCATTGCTCTTGTTATCACTTATTGCTATGACTAGCACATGGATTGAGCCATTCAATTGAAATGTAGTTCTCAAATATGATCAATTGAGGACAAAATTACCAGACTTTGTGAGCACCTTAAGGTAAATTATTGAATAAAAAAATAAATAATCTAAATTTGAGACCTTCATATCAGTCTATGGTTCTGCATATTTAAGATATCATTTCGAGTCAATTGATTGATTGATTGATTGAAAAGTTTATTAACAGCTTGTATATTGGGTACAGTACAGTACAGCTCAAAACATACAATTGTTAAAGGGATGCAGACCAGAGAAAGACTTTCGTCTTGTTTACATCAGGGTCCCCCATTTCCAATTCATCATGAGAATGACAATAAGATTGAAATAAAAGCGAGATTATTATCAGACAATTTGCCAACTTCTTCTTCTTTTTTATTTGAGAATGAAAAAAACTGCAAATACTTACATTAGAAGGCTATACAGACAGTATTTGGCGTTTTTCTTAAACAATATAATCAGTTAAGATATGAATGTCCCCGCTGTGGGACTAATAAAGGAATTTGGAATTCTGATTCATAATTGTTGGTGCGAACTGTTGCTGTGGGCCTGTCAATATGAGTAAAGACTACATAGGGGTTTGATGGGATAAAAACTTGCATCCTCTAACTTAGAAAATGTCACTTTCTCAATTGCCCTTCCTGAGTTATAGTATTTCGGACGGTTCATGAAGGCAGCATGAGGAGGGGATTCTCTAACGCCTCGTACGTCAACACCCTTACGTACACTACGTACCCACGATGCAGCGCGGCTGCCTACAACATAGCCATCTTGTCAGTGACTACGTGAGGGAGGTAACTGCAGACGCTGTTTGGACTCTCGTTTGTTTTAAAGCGTGAAACTGGAGGACGGTTTCTTCTCTCTAACGCCGCCAGCTTCACAGTAAGTGTCGCCACTGAATGACCTGAGGCTCGTGAGGTGAGTGGACTCAAAGGACTGCTTTCGGGAAGATGTCTCACAGACTTGTTCCGACGTAGGGGGAGTGTGCAGCAGCCAGTTGCTTGACTTGCTAGCTAGCTCAGTGAGTGGAGGGCTGCGGGCCCTCCTCAGCCTAAAGTAGGTCCTGCAGCTGGGCAACACACTCTGCGACAACGGCCGTCTCACAACGGGACCACCGGGACATTAGCAGGCCGGTCAGGACCGACAGGGAGCTGAGGAGCAATCATCCAACAGGCGGCTGGTATCACTGTCTAAAGACGCATTGCCTGACAACCCGACACGATAAGCGTTATGAGCCCATGAAACGCAACAGGAGACCGAGAGAGGAAGAGGGATGGCGTAAATTCATCTTGATTACAGTTAGCTAGGCTAAGTATTACACATGCAAGTGTGCTGTGGAATATGATCTAAGCTTTAAGAAGCTGCAACCAGCTCGTCCCTTTTTGACTAAGGATACACACAGCCATACGGCACTTGGAATCAGGCTGTCAATATGTCGAACATGCCGGCCAAGAAGAAGAGCTGCTTTCAGATAACCAGTGTGACTCAGGCCCAGGTTGCGGCTATAGGTGCCGCGGACGACACGGAGAGTCTGGACGACCCGGACGAGTCCCGGACGGAAGATGTGTCGTCAGAGATTTACGACATGTCACGGGCTGAGTACGAACCTGTTTGTGACAGGAGCTCATCTGAAGAAGCCTTGAATAATGTCGGAGAGCCAGAGGCAATCAGTGTTATTGCGCCATCACACATACCTCAAGCCGGTCAGTTGCCTGCGCTGTCAGGCAATGTAGCGGGGGAGTTTCGAAAGGTGGGAGTGTCGGCCTCCACTCAAGGTGGTCAGCAGCCCGCGGGGATCGGCGCTGCAGCTGGTGGAGCCCCCATCCCTCAGCCCGGGGCCTTGCAGCAACAGCCTGCCCCGGCAGCCAGTGTGTCGGTAAACACATCCCAACCTGCTGCAGTGACCAGTCCAGCCCCTCCTCCTACCACCTCCACCGTGAGCTGCACTTCTCGCTTTAGGGTCATTAAACTCGATCATGGTACTGGAGAACCTTTCAGAAGAGGCAGGTGGACATGTACAGAGTTTTATGAGAAGGACTCCGAGAGCTCTGCTGTTGGTAGGACTGCAGATAGCATTAGGCATGTCAACAACAGTGCAACAACACTGGACCCTGCTGCTGACAGAGACAGTGGGCTCGGGCATACAGGAGGATCTGTGGTTCCCCCCGCATCGCACTCAGGTCAGGGCTTGGGCTCGGTGGCGGATGCTTCTCTCTCATCCCGCATGCATTCAGTGGAGACGCAGCAGCAGCAACAACAACAAATCCAACATCAAAACTACAACGACGGGATGCATCCTTCAGCCCATCCCGTCGTTTACCCTGCCCAGCAGCATCCCATGGGCCACCACCTGACCGGCCAGTCTTCTGGACTGCCGCAGAACCCGACAGAGTTCTATCAGCAGCAACAGCCCCCTTCCATGCAGCCAGGGCCTCTGACTGGCCAGCCCGTCCCAGTGTCCAGCCTCTCTGGCGGGCCACAGCCCATGGGACAAGACTCGGTCCTACCTGCATCCTCCGCGGGGGCTTCTGTGCCAAGTCATGTGGGAGATGTAACAGGAGGGGGGTCTATAGCGAGCGGACAGCCAGGCCTCTTGCAGCAGCAGACTGGGGGAATTGGAGGCGTTGTACTGGTCAGTGGATCCACTCTGCAGCAGCAAGCTGTGAGTCAGTACACAGCCGCCGGACAGCCTCAACCCCACGGCCTCCACCCTGTCTCCTCCGGTGTACAAAACGTGCCTGCCATCGCAGCGAGCTCCAGTGTGCCCACCGCTGTGCCCAGTGCCCCCAGTGCAGCCATGCCAAATGTGACAAGCTCAAGTATGCCTCAAGGCCAGGTAGCCTACAGCAGGACTCAAGGAGCTCTAGGGATGCAGGGCCTCGGAGCAACTGGATTTGGACTTGTTGAGGGGGCTGGTGGGGTTCGAGGGAGGTTCGAGGGTCTTTTCAACACACAGTCTCCTGTTGTCTTTGGAAGGGAAGCGGCAAGGCCCCTCAATCCTGAGAGCCTGCAGCTCGCCACCCCGACTGTCAACAGCCTGTTTGGAATCCACATACCTGTCGACGGGGATGTGGACAGGTAATAGTCTCTACATCTAATATATTTAACAATATTACTAATTATAATTTCACCCTTTCTAGCACATCACCATTTCTGTGCAACATTATCCACATCAATGGATCAAATACAGTTATTTTAAGGCCTTACTGGCACTTTTCTTTGTGTACATTAGGAGAGAAGCATGCTGTAAGGGCATTAGCCACGATAAATACATTATATACTGATCGTACGTTATATAGAGACATGACCTTTATTCATTTTAGATCATCGACTATCGTACAGTATATGAACTATCAACTTATCATATGACATTTGGACTGACCTTGATCACTTTAGTGTAATGACTTATCGTATGATATTTATATGGACGCGTACACGGGTGTGTGTGTTGAAATAACAATACCACTAACATCAAAGGCCAACCGATATCAGAATAGAGCCCAAAAGTCATTTATTGTGTTGTAATTTATTTATTGGAATATTTTGATTCCAATGTCAGATAAGAAGTGAATTGCTCTTTTTAAAAGGTTATACCTATATCATTATAGCAGTGTTTAATGTCACCATTTCCAAATTGTTTAACAACATTATTCTGGCTATATGCTGGGATCACAAGGAGGTAGTGTTTGTCATGTAGTTTTTCAGATGAACAGGGTTTCGAAAATGCACACTAAATCTACATACAGATTAGAGCAGACATGATAGAGGTGTTAAATCCACATCTTTTATTACTCTAGGGATAATTAAGTTTGTATGTCGGATTGTAAGGGACAAACTACACGAGTTCACAGGAGCCTTTCTTTTTCTTAACGTCCATGGCATCCCCCTTTTTCCCTGCGTTTTAGCGCTTGTTAAAGATGGCACACATGAGCGGAAATGATACAGTGCTTGACAACTTTGTGGTTTCCATTTACAGTCTAACAGATATTATAGAGCCAGACAGGGTTACATAACTGTAGCCTTACATATTTTCTTCCCGTGGGTGGACAGTTTGTTGAACGGTGTTTTGAAGCGTATGCCTTGCACTTAAAGGACGTTTTATCCAAACTTTGACACCAACTTCAACACTTTATACCACAGGCTTTCAAAGTTTCAACCCTGCGCTACAAAATTCAAACAACTGTGCCCCTCTGCCATACAGATATGATATATGTTATGATATGGATTTCCTTCCCATTGTTATTCTTTGCCTGTCGTCGGGAGGTAATCGTACTCCAACTCAAGCTTTACAGCTGCAGTTTGCATTATACAGGGTTCGTACGGGTGCTTGAAATCCTTGAAAATGCTTGAAATTTGACGTGGTGGTTTCAAGGTTGGGAAAGTGCTTGAATTTTGGGAATGGTGCTTGAAATTGAGATAAAGTGCTTGAAAATGTAAATGCTTTACTTTTACAATAAGTTCGCTTTTTAGATTAAAAGAAAAGAATTGCTTCGCTTCTACATAAAACAGCTCCGCTGCACCTTCCCGCGCTATGCGCGCGACCTGCAAGTGTTTGTGTTACGTGTGACCTGGGCATTCTGATGAGAGTGATAGATGACTGTGTGCCAGGAGGTTGCCGTTTCAACGAGCGTTGGCTAGCAGAAGACAAATACAAGCCATGGCTAAGACGAGGGTCAAGCCCACGAGTAGCCTCCTGCAAAGTTTGCAAAAATAATGATGCGAGAGTCTGCGCTGACGAGCCACATGAAAGGTACGCCGTAGTAGAGCATTTTAGATTAGGCTAACGTTGCATGTTACGTTTGTTTAAGCTAACGTTAGCTAGCTGAATAGCAAACTCGATTGAGGGATGATAATAATAATTGCAGCGGACAATCATTTCAGAGGAGCGTACCTATGTTAATATGTGCGTTACAGTCGCCATCGTGTGGTGTTCAGAGGATGAAGCACTCACGGCATTTTGTGTTATAGTCACGAAATATAATCTATTGATTCGACACAGAGCGATTTTGAAAGCAATGTATTTCTACTGGTAGTATGTTTCGTGCCTAAACCAAATGTGACTTGCTCTATCGAAATCAGTTACATTGACCCGAAGACACATTTTCGTTTGTATTACTGGTCTGGGGGAAGCTCGCGAGTGTGTTTGTATTTTTGCGTTTGTGTACCGGGGAAACACTCACAAGAAACACCGGCTGTTGTTATGCCTGCTGTGACGTTAAGTTACTCAGTTCTCTGCTTGTAATTATGCCGAAGCTTCAAAGTTGTATTTATCATCTGAATTTGCCGAAACAAGTTTAATATTCTGAAAGCCAAGACTTTGTTTATTTGAAAACAGATGAAAACAAACTGTCTTTTATATAAAATTGAAGTATTATACAAGTAAAACTACATTTTGCTTTAATCCCATGTAATTGTAGAATGAACACAGTCTTCCTTTGAAGATGTATAAGTCAGGTGTCTTGAGTAGCATTACCTACAAATCATTGTACACATTTGTAAATATTATTTCCCACTTGTTTCCATTGTGAGGCTATTTTTATGCAGCTCTGCGTGATTTTGTGGCTACAATTCAGGCTAATACGCTACCAGAGGTGGAATAAGTACTCAGGTATTGTACTTGAGTAAAAGTACAAGTACTCAGATCTTGTAGTGAAATTATAAGTACTCAGATCTTGTACTTGAGTAAAAGTAGAAGTACCAGAGTGTAATACTCTGCCACAGTAAAAGTCCTGCATTCAAAATGTTCCTCAAGTAAAAGTAGAAAAGTATTCTCATCAAAATATAGTTAAAGACAGTAAAAGTAGTCGTTGTGCAGATGGGTCCATTTCAGAATAATATATATGATATGTTTTATAATGATTGATCATGAAAGTGTTCTTAAAGCTGGTAAAGGTGCAGCTAGTTTGAATGACTTTGTATACTGCAGGGTAGCTTGTGGATTTACTCCAGGTGGAACTAAAGTCTGATTCAACACTTGATAATATTTCCCATCATTCATCCACATCTGTGAAATAACTAAAGGGATTAAATTAGGGATGCACGATATTGGTTTTTTGAAACCGATACCGATAACTTCCTGCTTCTCAAGACCGATACCGATAACCGATAATAGCCGACTGAATCCTTTATCTTCGACGAGGGAGAAGGGCTGGTCGTCAAGCGCCATAATTTCTATGATGAAGTTGGAGATCGTTTTAGCCCTGGGGTCGTCTCTGGCAAACTTCTTGCCTTTTTCAAAAGCCTCGTCGATAGGTAAAAGCCCCGGTGCCTTTGCAGCTGGCTTTGGATTCGCCGCTAGTTTAGCAGCGCAGGCGTCTTCGTACGCTTTTAACACACCATCGTAGCGATGGCGATGTTTCAGGTGACTAATCAGGTTGGAAGTATTATAGCTCGTTGCCTTTTTCCCTCCTCGTGGAACTTCTGCATTGCATTTGTTAATACAAATAGCAAGCGAACTATCTAACTCTGAAACTTTGAAATAGTCCCATACTACCGGCGACATGTTTGTTTACTGTCCTGGCTTCACGGCCGCACACCATTTACGTCACAGCCAGGCATGAGTTAGGGAGCGCTGGATTTGTGAAAAACTCCCCTCTTCCTAAACCACTAATACCACAGTACTGGCAAAACGGGAGGAGCCGAGTGAAAAACAAGCGCCCCTCATCCCAATCCACCCACACCGCAGTATTTTTGTCTTTTTTTTTTACCCAAAAAATATATTGTATATTATCGGGGCTATTAATACTTTTATCGGGTTTATCGGGATGACGTCATAATTCCTAATATCGGACCGCAGTGCACCACTAGATTAAATACATGTAGTGGAGTAAAAGTACACCATTTACCTCTGACTTATGTTTACTGCCAACCTAAAAGTACCTCAAAAATAGCAATCAATAATGTATTGAAAATGTATTTGGCTGATTGTTTTATATTGGCTCAGACAGGTTATATAGGAGGCCTAGTCTACGTACAGATCACTAATTTTGAAATATTAAACTTAGTTTTCTTTAGGGATGCTCCGATCGATCGGTCACCGATCAAGATCGGCCGATACCCACTCTCTACCGATCAATCGGTGCTCTCTAAACATGCCGATCGCGAGAGCCGATCGCATGACGTAAAATACATGATACTTTTCTCTGTGTGCGGCAAAACAAGCTCGCCAAAATGGCTTCACCGGTCTGGCATTATTTTAAGGTGTCCGAAAAAGACAGTAAAATAGCGGAATGCAACGTGTGTGAAGCAGAAATCCTGCAGCTCCGCCCGCTGTGACGGACCGGTGAGCGGAGCAACACACACAAGAGTTAGATACTTAGCTATTGTATCTACCTCTGGAACAAGCTAAACTAGTCATTATAAATATATGTATTCTTCACTGTCGGGTCACTCATTACTGGATCAGTGAGCTGCATGAGATACTGACAGGCTGTCAGGAGAGGGAGAGAGAGAGGGAGAGGGAGAGAGGAAAAGAGAGCGCTTCCGCTCATTTCTCCCGTGTTATTATCCAAAGTGAATGTAAACTTGAATAATGTACATCATTTGAATGTAATAATTAAGTTGTTTGTGGAAGCTCCAGTGAATGAGCCCCATTAACTGAGTTTTAATAAACATCACTTTAAATGGAAGATTTAAAGTGATGTTTAAATCTTCCATTTAGGCCCAGCCCACTTGATCCGATCGGTATCGGCCGATACTGATTCGGGCGATCGGCCCCGAAATTGGCGATCGGAGCATCCCTAGTTTTCTTTTCTTTAATTTTTCATCCACGTGTAGAAGGCTATCACGAAAACACACATTTGGTTGTTTATGGCATAAAGAACATCTGATTTAATGTGAGGCAGGGAAATAATCATTTGAGTATGTGTATATAAATATGTAATTTACAACAGCTGTAAGATGCTTGAAAAGCTGGAAAATGCACCTTGAAAATGCTTGAAAAGTGTTTGAATTTGACTTTGGAAAAGGTGTAAGAACCCTGTACTTTGGCGTATTTAAACGGGCAGTAATGTTGCAGATGATTCATTCACAGTGTAACTACAAGTCGAGCCCTGTTTTTCTACCCTGTGTTTGTTTAC